TTTAGTATGACACATGAGGCCCTTCAAATCTACCTCCGAATTGCCTTTTGAACCTGGTTTCGCAGCATTCAACTTAATGTGGCCTATATTCCAAAGACTTTATTTTTCTTTTAGTTAATATACAGTAAAGTTGACTTTTTCTTATGTAATTCTAAGAATTTTAACCACCACCACAATCAGGATATAGACCATCACTCCAAAAAAACTTCATTATACCACCCTTTGTAGTTATATTCTCCTCCAACCCTTAATCCCTGGCAACCAAGTCTGTTTTCAGTTGTTCTGTGGGGTTTTTTGGAGAGTGCCTTTTACATGGAGCCACACAATATGTAACCTCTTGAGACTGGCTTTTTTTACTCAGCCTTTAAGATTCATCAGCAACTTGCTGCATGTATCAATAGTTCATCAAATGCATTAATTTTATTTCAGAAAGTAACAATGGATTCTTAAGTATTTACCTGATTCCCAAATTGTAACATTGCTACCGCTTCCTAGAAGAGACTCTTTGGTTCCTTTATAGTATCTTATTCCCCATACCTCCCCTGATAGAAATCCTATCCATTATTCAAGGCTTTCAGTGTAAGTTTCCTCTCCATAAAATGAAGTCTTTCCCGGAATGAATGATTACGAGACCTGGGCTAGCATTGGGTCCCACCTCCTACCATTAATTTGAGAATCACTGCCCTACTGATTCTGATGTACAGCCAGCTGATTGTGGCTCATAGAGTGTGGCAAAGTCTGAGGACATCCTTAAACCTGGCCTGTTTGCAGAAAAAAATAAATGCTGATGAGGTTGTGGAGAGATTGGAACTCATACATTGCTGGTGGGTGAAATTGTAAAATGGTACAACCACTATGGAAAATGGTATGGTGCTTTCTCAAAACCTAGAAATCGCAATACCTTATGATCCAGCAATCCCTCTCCTAGGTGAATATCCTAGAGATATAAGAGCAGTGACATGAATAGACATATGCACACCCATCTTCACTGCAGCATTATTCACAATAGTAAAAAGATGGAAACAACCTAAGTGCCCATCACTGGATGAATGGATAAACAAATTGTGGTACATACATACAACAGAATACTACACAACTATTAAGAATAATGAGTTCACAAAACATAACATGGATGACTCTAGAGGACGTTATGTTGGGTGAAATAAGTCAATTGCAAAAGGAAAATATTGTATGGTCTCACTTTTATAAAAGCAGCCTGGGTGGCACAGTGATAAAAGCACTCCACTGCTAATCAAAAGGTTGGTGGTTCGAACACAGTGGCTGCTCCCCAGGAGAAGGGTATGGCAGTCTGCTTTCATAAAGATTACAGCCTTGAAAACCTTACGGGGCTGTTCTTCTCTGTCCTGTAGGGTCACTGTGAGTCGGCATCAACTCGACGACAGCAGTTTTGGTTTTTTGGTTTTCACTTTTATAAAAAGTCAAGAATAGGCATACATACAGAAAGCAACTTTCTTTGATGGTTACCAAGGATGGAGGGGAGGGGGAATCACTTTCTAGATAGTAGATGTAAAAAATGGTGTTGGGGTGTCAGACTTCCTCATCTAACTTCACAAGGGGGAAGGAGAATCATTATCAGCATCAAAAGTCCAAGGCTGATGGCTGTGAGGTGGTCAGACATACCTGCACCCTCCAGCCTTTTTACCAGTTCTCACACCAGCCATCCCTCCCACAGCACTCACAGCTTCTCTGCTGGTTTCATAATTTGTTGCAATGGCCACACACAACTAACAGGCCGTACTCACATTTATGGGGTTTATTAGAGGAGTAACAGGTTACAGTTCAGGATCAGGAACGACTCAGGATGCAGTTTTTTGGTCAGGACAGCTTCTCAGCCTTGCATGCACTCAGGCCTCTCAGCCCCTCGGTCCCACTGCTTGGCCTCTGCCCTGCAAGTGTTAACAAAGCTCTTTTGCTCCACCAGTAAGTGCTCAGAGGCACCCTACTCTGCCAGTAAGCCTTGGCCCGAAGACGCTGAGCACACTTGCTTGTGGGTCAGCACGCCCACTGTAGCCACATCACTCCATGGGCTGGAAAACCCACTGTGCCTTCTTGTGCTGATCTCTTGGTTCTGCTGCCGCCATTTCTCTGCTGCTGCTTTTCACCGTCTCTGGTGTCACATCTCTCTCTCTCTCTCTCTCTCTCTGTCTCCTGGGTCTAGGAGGTTCTCAGCACAGTGACCCCAGGTCCAAAGAATGCACTCCACTCCTAGCTCTTCTTTCTTGGTGATAGTGAGGTCCCCTCTTCCTGCCACCAAGATTGCTCATTTTAAGCCTGGCGGAATGGCAAAACTGACTAATCCCATTAGGGTTCCACCTCCACAAGGGTGCCATGCACCTTATTTGCATTATTAGCAAGCTGTCTAATCCCCTTGGTGTGCCATAAGCACCTTATTTGCATAGTCCCTCCCAGTGATTATGTGGGGAGTTATAAGACCATGCATGGCTAAAAGGGCCATATATTAAGTAATTCATTGCGCTACAGTAGACACTTGTTATTTTTGGTGATGGAAAAGGTGGTATCGAGTATGGGTGAAGTCTGCACAACTTGACCCAGGCAAATGACACTAAGAAGTATGCAAGAATAAGAGACAATTTCAGTTTATGCTGTAACGTACACAATTTTGCAACAACAGTAATAACCAAAAAATGAGTGTGATTTCATAGGTATGTATGTATGCATATATGTGTATAGGAAGGCATATGCGAGTACAGGTGTATGCATGTGTACATGTATCTGTAGGCATATGGATGTAGATGTTTGAATGTGCTGCATATGTATTCATATATGTAATAAAGCACATTGTTACAGAAACTTCCTGGACATATCCAGACACCTCATGGGATTGGTTCACTGGGTTAAAAACTCTAGGACCATAGTCTTAGGGGACAACATAGTTAATAATGTTCTACTTACTAGTTTGGTAAGTAGCATCTGGGGTCTTAAAAGCTTGCGAGCAGCCATCTAAGATAAGCTATTGGTCTCTACTCATCTGGAGCAAAAGCGAATTAAAGAAACCAGAGAAGCAAAGAAGAAACTAGTCCACAGGACTAACAGCCCACATGAACTGCAGCCCCTTCTAGCCTGAGACCAGAAGAACTAGATGGTGCCCAGCTACCACTACCAACCATTCTGACCAGGGACACAATAGAAGGTCCCAGATAGAATGGGAGAAAATTCAAATTCCTAAAAAAGGCCAGACTTATTGAACCAGTAGAGACTGGAGGAACCCCTGAGACTATCACCCTAAGATACCCTTTGAACTTGGAACTGAAGCCACTCCTGGAGGTCACCTTTCAGCCAAATAATAGATTGATGGCATGGTAGTTAAGTGCTCGGCTGCTAACCGAAAGGTAGGCAGTTCAGACCTACCATGGCTCTGTGGGAGAGCAATGTGGCAGTCTGCTTCTGTAAAGATTTACGGTCTTGGAAACCTTATAGGGCAGTTCTGTTCTTCCATAGAGTCACTATGAGTCAGAATCAACTTGACAGCAATGGGTTTATGGGTTATAAAGTAACTTATCACCCATGAGTAATGTACTCCCTAAAACAATCAACTATAGGACCAAACGGTCAACAATTTACCCAAAAGCAAAGATGAGAAGGCAAGGAGGGGCAGGGAAGCTAGGTCAGTGGAAACAGAACAAACAGTGGAAATAATGAGAATGCTGACACATTGTGAAAGTTGTAACCAATGTCACTGAACAATTTCTGTAAAAATTGTTAAATGGTGACCTAATTTGCTGTGTAAACTTTCACCTAAAACACAATATGTATTTTTTTTTTAATTGCCATAGTGTTGACTCTGACTTATGGTGACCCCGTGTGTGTCAGAGTAGAACTGCTCCATAGACTTTTCAGTGGCTGATTTTTCAGAAGTAGATCACTAGGCCTTTCTTCCTAGACACCTCTGGGTGGACTCAAACCTCCAACCTTTTGGTTAGCAGCTGAGTATGTTAACTGTTTGCACCACCCAGGGACTCCTTTAGAGTCCCAAAATCATAGGAAAAAAAGACTGAGTTTCCCAGTTCATTTTGAAAAGAACAAGCTAAGAAAATCCTGATCCCAAATCTCTTAAGATGGTGTGCCCTGCCTCCACCCATGTAGGCACACAGAACAATAGATGTCTTACACTTTGAGTTATAAATAGACACAAATGTCCTATATAAAACACTTACCAAACTTCTAGCCATATATAACATTTTAAAGTAGGGTCTATTTCAGGAATGCTTTAAACTTGTTACTACAAAATCACATTTCAACTAATTCCTGAGTCCACCTTGTAGCTAAATAACAAATTGTCCCAAAAAATAATATCACCCATAAGTATTGTGCCCTTTTAAAAATTATCACCTATATGAGACCAAATGTCAGCAATTACTTTAAAACAAAGATGAGACTGGAAGGGAGCAGGGAAACTAGATTAATGGAAACAGAACAACCAGAATGGAAATAATGAAAATGTTCATGCATTATGAAGAATGTAACCAATGTCAGTGAACAAATTGTGTAGAAAGTGTTGAATGGGAACCTAAACTGCTGTGTAAACTTTCATCGAAAACACAATAAAATATTATTAAAAAAAACGAAAACAAAAACCTGGCCTATTTGGGTGTCTGCTTTTCTTTAATGTGCTATAGCAGGTTATGCTTATATACATGGTCTATTTGTTATTTCCTGTCTTCCTGTCTTTTCTGTTATTTCCTACCTTATATCTTTACTAATTTAATATATGTAGTTTTAAATTTAACATTGTATCTGTTGTATCTTCTGAAGTGTTTAGCCGATTAGTGTCATTTATCAATACTCAGTACTTATTGAATCAATTATTATAGTCTTTGTAAAAGAGATTCATGAAAATTTGCTTTGGTTCAGTTATTTCATTCTATATTTGAAAATATTATTTTATTAGATGAATTAAACATGTCAGTGGTATGAAAAAACAATGGGGGGAAGTTAAAAAAATAATTTTTTTTCCCCAGCGGCTTGTCTCTACATTATGAAGAGATAACAAACGGACCAAACTGTGTAATTCGAGGTGTTACAGCTAAGGGCCCTGTAAACTCTTGTCAAGGCAAGGTAAGCATTGTACATAAATATAATACTTACTAAGTATTTATTTCTTACATGATAAAAATGAAATTGGAGATTTAAAATTGGGTGACATAATTTTGCAACAAGATGACAGTAATGTTGGGTTCTTGGGGAGTAAGCAGGATCATGGCACCTAACTTACCAGTTACATCTGTAAGAAAAATCAGCACCCTTCACTACTGTTGTTTGTTAAATATTTATGAGTTAAATGTTTCTCAGATGTCTTCTTTATCTTCATTCCACTGTCTTCACATTTGAAGCTATTTCTTCAGCAGTTATCCAGTACTGTGTTGTTTCTTTTTTCTTCCCAGGTTTTTCCATCCCTTTTTTTTCTCTTTTTGAACAAAAAAGATAATTAGAAACATGAAATGTTAACTCACTTCTCTCAACATAATTGGTTTGGCATTTCTCTATCTAAAGGGATGTGTTTGGGGAGAGTTAAGGTTAGGAAAGTTGAAGACATAAATTCCAATAAGATAATTTTTCAGTTAGGCACAAGAGAGAATTTTTCAGTTAAGCATGTAAAGCAGCTACTATATTTATATGGAGTCCTTGGGTGGTGCAGTTAACACATTTGGCTGCTGACTGAAAAGTTGGCAGTTCAAAGTCAACCCAGAGGCGCCTCAAAGGCCTGACAATCTACTTGGCGAAAAGAATCAGCTATTGAAAACCCTGTGGAGCAAAGTTCTACTCTGACACACGTGGGGTTGCCATGAGTCAGGGTCGACTCAACGATACCTGGTTGTAATAGATTTATATGACTAAAGGGAATACTGACTAATAATAAACTAAGTAATATGTTAACTTTTCAAAAATCACTATATCATTACCTTCTATATATATTTAACCATTTTGCCTATCGATATATTTAAAATAGAGCATGCGGATTTTTTTAAGTACTGTACCCTGTTTTATACAATCACATCAAATTAAAGATTGAGTTCTATACATCTTTCTGAATTCAGATTTTTCTGGAAAAAGAACTTGAAATTTGTGGATTTGATACATTTATTAAAAAGATTTCTAGATGTTTGTAAACCTTCTATTTTTGAATAATTTTAGATTTACAAAAGAGTTGGGAAGAGAGTGCCCATGTACTCTTTACCCAGCTTATTCTGTTAACATCTCACATAACCATCACACACTTAACTGAACTAAGAAATTAACAATGATATAATACCGTTGGAGCCCTGGTGGTGCAGTGGTTAAACATTTGGCTGCTAAACCAAGAGGTTGGCAGTTGGAATCCACCAGCTGCTCCTTGGAAACCCTGTGGGGGAGTTCTACTCTGTCCTATAGGGTCGCTATGAGTTGGAATCTACTCAACAGCAATGAGTTTGGTTTTTTGGTTTATAATACTATTAACTAAACTATAAACTTAATTCTCCAGTTTTTCTACTAGTATTTTTCTGTTCCAGGGTTTTTAGATTTTTGTTTTTCTTTTCTCCCACTTTTTTTTTTTTTTTACGTTTCATATAATGCCTATCCTGATTATAATAATTATTCAGAGGTTATGCTTTTTGAATTTGAAGAGACTGTTGTCTCTAAGGAAGCAATATAAGTCCATTTTCCCCTCTACATCTCTTATATACATATGTATGATGATTTTAAAATTTTTATAATTGCAGAGTAGATTTCTATAATGACATGAAAATACAAAGGAAAAGTAAATTGGAATTGAGGTGATAAACTACTTATTTAGGACTTGGGTTTAATTTTTAAAATTTCTTTTCAACAGAATTTTAATCTCAAGGTTATTCTGCCAAGTTTAAAAGAAGACTCACAGATTTTGAAAATTAGATTACTACCTGGTAATATTATTTTAAGAAATATTCTTAATATTTACCTTTTAAGTAATATTCTTATGATAAATTATAATGGCACTTTAAAAGGTGGTGTTTTTTGGTTTGGTTTGGGTTTGGGTATAAGGATTGAGAATACATTTGAATGTCAAACATAGCACTGACAGAAATGACCACTTGAAAAGAAAAATTTGAGTATTGAAAATATATTGAGGAACTGTTGTTAGGGATGTACTTACTAGGTTTATACTAGAACTGGGTCTGTCCTTTACCATTTGTTCATATAATTATTTCGTATTTTAAGAAGATAAGTTTCTAATGCCATTTATATTAAATTATTTTGATAATGACTTACAAATCGATATCAACTTAAAAATGAAATTGTATTAAAATTAGACAGAATATTTAAATCTAGGCTCTGACACTTAAGAGCTAGGCAAACTTGTTTTGTGCTTCAGTTTTCTTGCATGTAAAATGAGGTAATAATATCTACTCTCATACGGGTTGTTGTGAGGGTTAAATGAGTTAATACAGGCAACCCTCAACTTCACACAGCTCCATGGTAACTGAATTGAGGACATAGTCCCAATATGTGGGGGGTTTTGTTACCGTGGTGCCATGCAAAGTTAGTACTGCCTGTGCAGGTAAAACACTTGGAACAGTGCTTAGCATGTAAGCTTTAGCTCTGATATTTTGAGATTTGATATTTTGAGATTTGATAGTTTGAGGTTTCCCTCAAGCATGAATTGATAAAGAAGCAAAAATTGGCACAGTAGTAGAACTGTGAGAAGAAACTGTTAGGTATTTATAAACACTTAGTTCTGTTTTTATTTTGAAAGTCTCCTAAAAAGTATGCTTTTGAGTGGTAAAATTCTTCGTAACCAGATAATTCTTACATGTTCTTGGAATTTGAAAATGAAAATGGTAAAGTAGGAAGTAGTACTGTGCAGTAATAAAGGCCAAGCGATCTCAAATTACAAACCAGGATTTAAACCTGATGCTGCCACCTACTGACGATGTGACCTGGACAAGATACTTAATCTTTATGGATCCCAGTTTCCTCTTCTGTAAAATGGGGATAAAAACAGTACTTTCTTCACTGAGATTATTGTGACAATTATATGAAAATAGTTCGTTGTTCCTGGCATAAAGTAAATAATAAATAAAAATTTATGTTATTGTTATAAAGTAAAATAAATATTTCCAGGAACAGTTCTTTGTTAGCTTGTGTTATCAGTATTTAGCATAAATTGAGTTTTAAAATATCAGTGTTTATGGTGAAACGCAGGGCAGCTTACTACAGAAGCGTAAGTTCTCTTTTATTAATCTTATAGGAAATTTGGGCCCTAAGTTGCTTATGACCACAACGTAGTGGGCAGTCTGACAATTACCTGGATAAATCATTACACGCACTGATCTTTTAAGTGCTATCATCTAAAACAGTTGTGTAGTTAGGTGCCCAAGAATTCAGTTGCTGTGAAAAGTTCAAGACAGTAAATAAAAAAAGTAGTTTAATAAACGTTTACTTTTTTCTTTCATCGTCTTTTTAAGGTTTTACATGTTTAGAGTTTTTCTAGCATGAGTTACCATGATGTTGTAACTTGTAGCATAAAACTAAACCTAGACATCAAACATTTTATATAATTGGGACAACTCTGATCATGTATAGAATCTGTGCATTTTGGGGAGAGAAATGATTAAACATGGGCATTGCTTATTTTTTTTCTTGGCATTATTTATAATATATCATTAAAACTTTAAATGTTAAAGTTGTTTCTTTTCATAGTTCAATAATTCAGTCTTTGACACCTGAATCTGTATTTAACTATATAATTTCCTGGTAGGTCCCCCTCGTCGATTGAAAGTAAAACCTGACTCTGAAATTTTAGTAATAGAAAATGGAACAGCTTTCCCATTTCAGGTGGAAGTTTTGGATGAATCAGACAATATAACAGCACAACCAAAACTGATAGTTCATTGTAAGGTAAAAGCTTATTATAAGCTAAAAATATGTAGATTTTGTTTTGAGTCCCAGGTTAGTAAATGGCAATGACTACGTCTTTCAGCTAATTTATAGTAGGCTTCACCTAGTCTCTAGGTCTTTAATGGTTATTCTGTGGAGAAATTTCATTGTCTGCACTATCACTAAGCCAATAAAGATGCCAGTTACACCTAGTTTCATAACGAAATTTATGGACGAAAGTTTCCTCCCCTTTCCTTCCCTGACTGCATCCCTCTCATTTCAGATGAAATATTTCAGTTATGATCAGCATGGTAGTAATGTCTCAGGATTGGGGAGGAATGGAGGTGGATTAAAGACCACAAAAAAGGAAAGGAAAACCCAGATAGATAAGTAAAAAGAAAAAAGTAGTGTTTAGAAAAGAATGGTGTTTGAAGAAGTTGGTTTTTTTCCCAATTTTTAGCATTATAGAAAACTGCTCTTTTCATTCAGAAATTGCTTAGAATTTTGATGAGTTCTATTAAGAATTTGCCAATTTATAGACAGAAATAATAGCTGCAGTGAATTATTTGAAATTTTGAATAACGTTCTTTGAGTAGTCAGTTATGTTTGACTGGGGTCTTAAATTATTTTGTATTCTTCTGATAGTTTTCTGGTGCTCCAAACCTGCCACTGTATGTTGTGGATTGCAGTAGTTCTGGAACTAGTATTTTAACTGGACCTGCAATTCAAGTTCAGAATATTAAAAAAGACCAGACACTTAAAGCAAGAATTGAAATACCGGTAAGTTGTTATGTTATTTATTAATCATATTCAGTTTTCATAGAAATATTCTTTAACAGCTTTATAATATTTTATGTAAAGTTATTTGACTTTTGAAAATGAAGTATTTGAGGTGGAAAGAGGCAACATGAAATTGTATAGTGAATAACTTTAACTTTTTATATCAAATATTAATAACTTTCTTGGTCAAGCCTTTTACAATAACTAGGAACCCTGGTGGCGCAGTGGTTAAAGTGCTCGGCTGCTAACTGAAAGGTTAGCAGTTCAAATCCACCAGCTGCTTCACGGGAGAAGGACATGGCAGTCTGCTTCCATAATGATTACAGCCTTGGAAACCCAATGGGGCAGTTGTACTCTGTCCTATAGGGTCACTATGAGTCAGAATCAACTCGACAGCAGTGGGTTTATTATTGATTTGCATTTTCCTAAAAATTTTTTTTTCTTATATTAGAATGTATCATTTAAGTATCAGTTTTACTTTATACTTTTGTTTTTTGTAGTTTACGTTTATTTCTTAGGAAGTTTGGTAAATATTCCCACCACTGAAAGATATATACACATTTAACTTGTGTGTGTAATTTTTGTAAATACATACTTTCTTATTAGCAATTTCACAAAAAGGGATTTCTGTGTAAAGTGCTTTTTATTGGAGATACTTTTTATTGGAAATGCATCATAGCTGCTGCTGAGACTAACACAGGAGGGGGTGCTGTAAGCACTTCATTTCCGTGGGTTGCTGGATGGGATAACAAGTAACTGAAGTAAAATACTTAAATGTGATTTCTTAATAATTGATATGGTAGAAAATGAATAACCTAATCAGTTGATTAGCTTACACTCTTGTACTAATCATTCATCAATTAGTAACATAGTTTGAACCTCAAGAGGATAAAAGATGGCTTTTGTTTTTTTAATAGAATGAGATGACTCTTGGCTTTATTCTAGTTCTTTCGGAGCTGATTATATTTGATAATCTTCAAATATTTGTTAAACATTTCCTCTATACAATAATGAGGGTGACATTTTTGAGGATAGTATCTTGCAGAAGGTCAGGAATTAGGGAAGAATCTGGACTTCGAGGCAAGAGTAACAAGCATTAGGAATTACATAAATACTACAGAGCAGCAACACTCAGGAGACCAAAAATCCAGCTCACTTAAGATAGTGACCAAGATGTATCCTGTAATATGCAGTTACAAATCGTGTCCCAGAGACAGTAACTCTTGAGTTTAAGGAGTCAAATAAGATATGCTTATAATAGAGCACGGGGTATTTGCCTAGTAGTCTGTGAGGTAGGAATTTCAAATATATCACCAGTTATGTGGATGGCCTTTCATAGGAGTGACTGCAACTAGACAAAGAAGGAGATATGAGTTATGTAACACTGTAAAGGTATTTTAAGGTTAAGCTTCTTTGGAATTTTGTGTATCCTCTGGAATGCACTCTAGCGGGATTGTGACATAATGATATAATATTTTAATTTTGTATGCCTAGAACCAGTTTATGTAGCATAATCCAGCTCTTCTTAAGTCTGTGGGACAGTGATGTGCCAGTATGTTACAAATATGCTAGTATATTGATCCTGCTCAGCTTTCAGGACATCTAGAGCCCTTCTGTGGTTGTAAGTCACTTTGTCCACTTATCCCAATCTGTTAGGAAGTGAGAGAGCATGTTAGCTAACCTTAGTTAACCTAACATCATTCCATAATGTATTGTATGGCAACTGTTTGTCTCTAATTTTATTGAAAGTTCTTAATATCTTACATCTTTATTCTTACTGATAAATGCTAGTCACTGACACTGATGTGTGATTCAAATTTCACAAGTTTGTAGAACTTTTAAGTAAACTCACAAATAAGTGAAAGGAAATCCTTTTAAGTTGAAATGTGCTTGGTTCTGGTTTTAAAAATGTGGCCACTGTCATTATTTATAATCTCTGATAGTATAAAATGTGGAATTATTAATAGTACAATGTCCTTTTAATTACCAAACCTGTGAGTAGAACATTCTGTAAGGTGATCTTGCGTAAGATTGAAACTAAAATTTGTGAACAATTTAAAAGATATACCATTAAAGCCAAAGACAATGTTTTCAATACAGATGTCACTCAGTGTTGTGTTTTCCCTCCTCTTAGAGTTGTAAAGATGTGGCTGCTGTTGAGAAGACTATTAAGTTGCTTCCCAGTAGCCATGTTGCCAGACTGCAGATATTCAGTGTGGAAGGACAAAAGGCAATCCAGATCAAACATCAGGATGAGGTTAATTGGATAGCAGGCGATGTTATGCATAATCTTATTTTTCAAATGTATGATGAAGGAGAAAGAGAAATTGACATAACATCAGCTTTAGCAGAAAAAATTAAAGTAAGTATCTTAAATAGATTGGTTTCTTTGTTTTATTCTCGGAAGACTCTGAACAAGAAGTTTTTATAAAGTAGCGTCTAAGAAGTAGCTTACCACAGAACAGTGATACTACTGTTTAAAATTCTAGGCTAAGTAAGATTTCTTTTTTGTAGACTTAATTGAAATGTGAATAATTCATGTGTGACAAACTCATACTTAGGCAAATAATTTTGACACATAAACAAAATTCCAGTTTTGGGCATTTTGTTTAGTTTTGCACTTCTGGACCAACTTTTTTCATAGTCACAATCAAGATCACTACCATATTAAAACAATATATTGGTAGCTGTTCTGAAGGCACTAAACAAAAATTCTGTTAAAGGCAAAACAGTATTGTTAACTACAGAGCCCTGATTTGGCCATTTGAATGTGACAAAATGTACCACTGTCTTAAAGCTTGATCATTAGGAAAACAGTTTTGTTGTCCTCAGTAGCTTCAGGTGGGCCTTCTCCACCTTCTGTCATCTGCATGTTGAAGCTTATCATCTCATTTACTAGGGAACCGCATCACTACTGGCAGGAAGATTCGTATCACATCAAGTGGACAGCTGTACTGTGTAGCACTCCTTTTATGACTGATTGAAAGAATAGTAAACTGTCTATGCTTGCTTTGTTCAAAATACAGTCAATTCTGCTATAATGTCAATTCTGAAAAACCACTGCACTGTGCAATAAAAGTCACAGGGCTTATGGGGAAAATGGAAATTAGAGGCACAACACACAAACTTTGTCAGTGACCCATTTAAAAAGAAGTTGTTGTGTGCCATCGATTAGATTCCAACTCATAGTGACCCAATAGGACAGAGTAGAGCTGTCCTATGGGGTTTCCTAGGCTGAAATCTTTACTGGAGCAGATCACCAGGTCTTTTCTCCCACAGAGTGGCTGGTAGGTTTGAACCACTGACCTTTTGGTGCTTAACCATTACGCCACCAGGGCTCCTTCATTGAAAAGATAGGAGCCTAATAAAACATTAGCAGAAATAGTAACGTGTCAGATGGGTAAGAAGTATATAAATACTATAAAAAATATGACAGTTTACTTTGTGTGTGGAAGTAGGTGCTGAAAGAGTTGTAGTTTGTGAGCTGTTGTGACATGGAAGGAGGGTATTTGAAATTGGATAGAAGGTTGTGTGGCTCACAACACATTAACTGAGGTAGCTGGTAGTGTCTGAGGTGTGTTGTTTTGTGTATTCTTACAAGGCTTGGTACAGCTGGGTGTAGTTTCCTGCATTTACCTAGTGTTTTTATGGATGAAATTGTGAATAAGCAAATGTGAAATTTGCCTTATGCTCAAATTGTTTTCCTAATATATTCATCACATTGGAACAAATTTGTATTTTCAAAAGAAGCCTTATAGTAGAATTGACTGTACTTTTTTCTGACATCTCACTTGACGGCAACAAGTTTAGTTTTGATTTTATAGAGAGAAAACTGCTCAGATCTTGAGTGTTAGGAAATAATTTTCTAAAAATCCAGGTTTCTTTAAGGCAGTCAGAGATAAACATCCCCTCATGTCTGGAAAGCCAACATTAGTGGGCCCTTACGTAAGAGATCCCAATTAACTAAATTCTTGGACAGTTGCCATTGTGGAACATGATGTAGGAATTATTTTATACTGTTAGTTTCTGTACCCATCTGGAGTTTCCAAATATAGGATATGATACTTTAAAAGCATTTTTTAGCTCAGTTGACCTATTTTTAAAAATCTTATTTGGAATAACCCTTGCTCCAGCCAGTTTATATATACGCATGCACACACGCACGCATGCACACGTGCACACACACACCCCTGAATTAAGAAAAGGAAGATTGAGAGAAATTATCCTGACCCTGTTTGGAAGTAAGGTAAGCCATTTTTACCTGCATCAGTAGATTTGAAGCTGAGTGGTTTAAAAGTGGTGCCAGGGACCTGACTTCTGTGCTGCTTTTTTGCTTTCTCACAGTGATGCTACTTAGGAACCTTAGCACCTCTTAATGTGTTACCAAAGTTAAGGAGAAACACCTGAGAGCCTCTCCTGGTACATGAACTTCTCTTTTGCCGTTCTTTTGTGTAACTCCAGCTCGCTTCTTAACTTCCATTATGGAAAAAAGTAATGATAGAGAATAAAGGTGGTTTAAAAAGATAAAAAGGTGGCTAAGAAGGTTAGACCAGATTAAACTAGAAATCAAAATATTAGAATATCAGTGATTTAAAAATTACAACTATAGAAAGCTGAAAGTAGAGACAAAGTTGAGCTAAAAATTCTTAAATAGAGAAGATTGAAAATTTAAAAGTAGGATGTTATTGTTGTTAGGTGCTGTCCAAGTGGCTCCGACTCATAGCAACTCTTAAAGCAACTGCCCGGTCCTGCTCCATCTTCACAGTTGTTGCTGTATTTGAGCCCATTGTTGTAGCCGCTTACCAGTCCATCTTGTTGAGGATCTTCTTCTTTTTCACTAACCCTCTACTTTCCCAAGCATGATGTTCTTCTCTAGGGACTGATCCTCCTTATAACATGTCCAAAGTATGTGAGACGAAGTCTCACCATCTTCGATTCTAAGGAGCATTCTGGCTGTACTTCTTCCAAGACAGATTTGTGGAATGACATCAAGGACATCATATATGAAGAAAGCAAAGGTCATTGAAAAGACAGGAAGGAAATAAAAGACCAAAATAAATGTCAGAAGAGATTCTAAAACTTGGTCTTGAATGTAGAGCAGCTAAAGGGAACAGAAGAAAGGATCACGTAAAAGCGCTGAACAGAAGATTTCAAAGGGAGGCTCAAGA